GCATGTTCCCTTAATTGCCATTTTTATACCACCACCATATGCAGCATCAGAATTTCTCTATGGCTCACAGCTAGTTTAATAAGCTTGGATACAGACCACCAAGACCGGGTCGTTGTCAAAGTTAAAAGTGATTTGCGCCCCTTCAGATAGACGTTAATTTTTTCCACTACCTTAGTTTTGTTGCCACAAAGTTGTGGGAATCGGGATGCATGATCTTTAGGTCTGCTTTCCACCCCCCACCAATGCAGCACTCTGAGACTTTCCTGAGAAGGAATAAAGGCATTTTAATGGGATGGAATATGCGAATTCAACATTGCAGAACCGAAGCGGAGAATCAAGACAGCACTTCATTACTTTTTTATTCAGGGGAAGGTAAACTTTTGGTTGAGACGTGCGCATTCTACACCTAGAGTAAAGCTGCCCTTCCACCAGCTACCTAATTACGGAGTGTATTTTTTGGTTTTATTTTTACTCGAACATGCCTTACGTTGGATGAATGCAATTAGACGCCGAAGTCGACTTGAATTTGTAGGGCACAACGTGACCACTTCTCAGAACCTTTTCCACTTGTAGGACATGGAAGGCCTTCCAATGAGTCTTGCAGTGACGCATTTGGGTTTAAGTGTGTTCCAAAATTTGACGAAGATAAACACCTTCTCATGGGCAAAAATAAGGAAACTCAGCTTTCGTCGCAAGCGTTTTTTGATCAAGCTGCATTCTATGGATTACGTGAGTACTTTGGTCGTCATGTGAACCTGCATTAGTGACCAGTCAAATTTCCTCTCCACAATGCAAAATGCATTTTATTATTGAAATAGGGTTCCATTTCATTGCCCACCGTAAATGAAGGTGAGCCAGTACAGCTATTTAATGTTCGCTGTGCTCTGCGACTCCCTTTCATCGCACCAAGGAACTATTCTAAACAGCCTTTTGTTCTCATTCCAAAATCTGACTCTATTTCCGGCCTGGTCGAGGCCCCAAACACAAGTAGTTGGCTTTTATGTCATTCAAATGAGGACTTACCTGAATTCGTCTTATTGCATGCTAACTTTGTTGTTCCTTGCGTTGTTACTGATACAGAAACATTTGCAGTGCCACTTGGGTGAGACTCATTATTTTTCGCATCAAAACTGGCTCAGCGACTCATTTGACCGCAAACAGTGACTTAATCTGACCCCCTAAAACGCCAAATGGAATTGATGGACTTGTGGGTTTTTTTTGCATTAACAGGATGTAATTGAATTTCTCTTTGATACTCGAAACGATTGCAAGCGGTTTTGGAAGAAGTGCATCGAGCATCACGCCTTCTTCCGGTGTCCCCTTCAGGAAAGGTCCTGGCAACGGAGACCAAAGGTGGTTACAAAAGGCTCCTCTTTCCGGTGAGCAAACATATTTTCTGTGTAAGGCTAGTTAACTCACAAGTAAAAATTTATTTCGAGTATTATAATCCTCATTTGTACTTATTGGAAGGAACGTCAGAGGCTATTAACTTCTTAAGTTCACAAATGGACACATCTTCTCTTGCTACATTTGCCTCTGTTAAGTTGTCAATTTGTTTTCTGTTCGCGAATGAAGTTATCGTATGTGTGTCAATTTTTGCTATTCCACAAGGCGTTTTATATTTACTTATTGAATCTTAAACAGTTTAGTCGAATAAAAACTTCGATGGACCGCAAATGCGAATGCTAGTGGGTACCTCCAGTTTCTAGTGGAGGACCGGTGTCAATTTAAGACAGATTTGTCGAAATTCAGCTTGCATAAACAGATATGACGTTATGTTTTGTTTTAATTTACGGAAATCGTTTTAGAATTAATTTGCCAGCCTGTCAGCTTGTGAAACCTGTGAAAACCATAGTGGAAACTGAGTCAACGTTTTGTGGTTTCTCGAATCTTTTCTGACGACCAAAGCAGTCACAATATGCATTGCTGGAGTTGGGAAGGATTCGAAAGCACTAGTTTTATGCCCTGGAAGGCACATTGACAATCATAAGTTCACTAACGGAGTCTTAAGTGTCTATGGAGCCAGAACTATGGGTGAAAAACAAGCGATTGAAGCATTACGAAAGGCGAGATGCTGCTTCTCCCTCCACCAGCACACAAAACTTCGAACAGCACAATTTAGTAGTACCGATATTGCTAACAACTTGAGGTTTGGACAAAGTTTTGACCGAGTAATGCAGCACCTAAAAAGTGCACACCCGTCAAGCTTAAAATTCTCTCTCAGTCGTAAAAGTGCTGCAAGTATATGGAGCCTTTTCGGCCAGAGAAAACGACATTTTGGTGTCTTGGTCCAAGACATAGTGACCGTGTTAACCTATTTCATGGGCAAAATTCAATTAAATGAAAAAAAATACATTTCCTATTGGTTTATTAACAGTCCTAGGCTCTACAAAAAAATGCTACTTGTTCAAAAATGTTCACTTGTGTCATCCAAATGCTACACGCTTGTGTAGTCTGCTTATTCTCTCTGCTCAGAGAGTCGAAAGTCAATGTAAATGAAAAATACTGCTTAAAGTGGTGTCGAGTGTGAAGTTGTAAGTTGTGGTCCACAACCCCGTCAAGGCGTTCCCCAGTTTACACTCCAGGATGTATTCTAGGCCAGACTCGGTTCTTTCGAAGAATGGATCCGAAGCATACTTCACTTCAGCATGTTGAGTTGGAGAACTTAAGGTTTCTTTGTGGTCATTCGATAGTGTTTTGATGGTTTTTTTTGAATGGACACTTCTGATGCGACGAGCTGTTGATTCGTGTGCATTTATTTCAGCTATATTGGCCGAACACAAAAGGAGCTCATCCGTTTCATGCGTGAAAGCAATGTTCGGAGACCACCGTTCGAAAGGTTGGTTCATGATTCGGCATATTTTTTTGGTATTAAAAGGATGGAAATGTGTCAAGCTGCTTCTTGTCGTAGCATCAACTACCAAATTTTTGACCAACAAATTCGTTCTTTTCAAAACAGACAGGCTGTTTGGTTAAAACTCTCAAATCGTCAGCTTTCTTTTTTCCTTCAACTACGAAAGCAAGATTCCATATGCCATCCACAAAAGTTTACCCCAGTAGTTAGACAGCACTTCAGATTTATGCTTTGGGAAAAGAAAAAAGCCATTCTTTTCATGCAATAGAAATTTTAATCCAGTTCAGGCCGTTTCAAATCCGTCAAAGCAAGCATATAATGAATTAAAGTATGTTTTCAATTTTGTACTCACGAAAGTGAGGTTGAGACATCTTTTCAAAGTGTGCAGAGAAATTTCAAGGTACTTTGAATGAGCCGGGCTAATGTTGGGATTTGCAGGCCATCGACAGCAAGAAGAGCACATCCAACGATGCTGACAGGTCCCAACTACTCTCACGCACGAATGGGCACCATGTCGATGACTTTGCGCTCCAAGTCCGCTGACCACCGACGGCACCAACTCTTCGACTCCAGCCAGCTTCATCTCCACGGTGGAATCATCGGTAGTTCTCGCAACTTGCTGGACCAGGTTGTTTCCGGCGCTGACAGCGTCAACCAACTGAAGCGCGCCCACTCCAGCTTTGTTCCCAACGCTGGCAATATTGGTAAGTCCAACGTTCCTAGTTTCTGCCTTCCGTCTCTAAGATAGCCAAAACTCAAGCTCCAAAGTGAATCAGATGAACTTTGGATGTGGCAGAAATCTCTGTATGATGTTGATTTCTTGAGAAAAACCGTTACCTTCTTTTTATTTCGTAAGCTAAAGGGATTTGTCAATGTGACACAAGCATACGCATGCTCTCCTCTACTCCATTTTTAATTGGATGTGCAGGCCATATGTAGTCATTCTGCGAAAATGGGCTTTCTTGGATAGTTATTGTTAGTGACTTGCTCGAATAATTAAGGTGACGAGATTTTTGCCAGGATTATCGACAGGGGCTGTGGCGACAAGCGGGTACTCTACAATGGGTGGAAGCAGCAGCGGTGGCCACTTAGCCGGTGAGGGATTGGATGCTGATGGCAAATCACTGGAAGATAGCAATGGTGAAAGAGGAGGTGAGGCAGTTGATCAAGAGCTGGTGGGTACGATGGTGCCTCCCTCTGGCCTCGTCCGCACCGACTTTGATGGGCACCCGAGTCCCGTTGCCACTGTACCACCTGCCGTGCTGGCTTCTACAGCTTCGATTACAAACGCTACTACAGCTAATGCTGTACCCGCTGCAGCACCACCGCCGCCACCACCACAGAAGCCCACCAGAATGGGCGCTACTAGTTCTAATAGACGCCAGAACAACGAATTCGTCTACGGACCTCATGTCAGTTCAATGAGTAATTTATCTGTACTGGTCGCAAAATACATACCAGATGTCCGAAGTTACATTGCTCGTGGCAGCATTTGGCATCGTAGGTCTGATAAGCAAATGGCACTGTTTTGAGTGCCTCTAACTGACATTCTGAATCTATTGCGCCACTAGCGCAAGATTCTGATCAGCATCATTTTATTGTCCTATGGATGACCATCTCACCAGAAACGTGCGTGAAAATAGAAGCAAACTATACTCCTTGGCCTAAAGATTCCAAGCCCTGGTAGCGCTTTCTATATGCATTCAGCCACTTTGTTATGCATAATTTAACTGAGCAAGTGTACTGAGGATTTTCGCCTTCTTTCGGCTACCTATGCATAGGCTCAAACCTCTCTCCTTTGGAACCGTTTTTAAAAGCTACAACTCTTAAACTAACCTTTATTATTAGCTCACTAGGGAACAAGCCAAATCCTTACCATTGCTGGTAAGGCAAAATTTGTCCTGGTGACCTCCCGAGATCCACTGATCTGTGAGTGTATGTTCCCAATCTAGGGTGGCACACTCAGGCGGCAGGCCTCCCTGGCTGAGCGCCGACCAGAAGAAATGTATGGCGTCAAAGCTAAAGGTCAGTGCGACTCCTTTTTTCCCAATATTGTAGGGAGTGTAAAGCTTGTGTAAACTTTAGGACGGGGAGTAGGTGCAGGAATCATTTTTTCTAACTACCGCGCCACTTTCGTGTTTGCTTTAACCTGAGCAAGAGAGGGGTGGGGAGATAGAGGGATCTCTTTTGGGCTATTCCGAGCTATAATTTTGTTATCAGAGCTGGGTGTAGTTTCAGCACGCCAATACCCTTTTAGCGACTACAACCTATGGTTAACCAATGGCAATTGCCTCTCTCCATCGGCTTTCGCTTTTTCTTGCGTGGTTAACTTAATTTGAGCTCGTACCCCCATTGGACCGAAGGAGGGAGCTGTTGTGCATTAAATCCAATTTTTGAAAAAAGAAATCGCAGTCCACTCACCAAGCTTTCAATTTTGTGGAGAGAAATTCTGGACCTGCGCAGACCTAGGCGTTTTAGCTGCAACTACTTTATTCGCCAAAAAAACGTAAATTTTGTCAACAAAGTCGTCTTCGATAAATAGTTGGCTTCAAGTCAAATACAAAGGTATGTGAGTTATGAGGTTCAGGGTTTTAAACTTTGCTTTGTCCTACCAACAGTCGTTTTAATCTCATTTTATCCTGAGCGATAAAAATCTCTTTTCAAATGGACATTTCATGTCTCAAAGATGATCCCTTTGTTCCTCACCTTTCTCACTTTAATTACAAGCCTTGTGCTTTATCTAAAGAAAGGTGCACTTCACGTTCCACCTTTTAGAGGATCTGGTACTCCACAGTAAGCAAATGTCGACGTCGACAATCTGTACCTTTGGTCAGCAGCCACAAACGTCAGTTCAAGTTCTTGTCAACCCTTCAAGTGGTGTGTTACCGTCAACAACGAGTACCACAGCGGTGACAATGAACACTGTTATTGCATCAGCGCAGGTTAGAACTCCCTATGCACATGACACGACTACCAGCGATGTGCTATGCACCACCGGTTCTGAGAGGAATCTACAAGTGTACACTTCATATCGTGAGGTACATCCTATTTAGTACTTTTGGGACTGCTATCATTTGCACTTTTCCACTGAACAAACTAACTTGTGTGCTATTCCTCCTTCTTACGAAAGGAGGAGCTGGTTCAAGCAGAAGAAAACGTCGAAGAGACCCAACTGCCTCCCTCCATGAAACTACTAGGCACAACTTGTCAATGCAAAACCACCGCAACCCAAACAGCCCCAGTCAGTGACGAGGAAGATGAAGAAGTTGATTGCGGGAAATTGGGAGATGTTGAAGTGATGAATGCTATGGAGGTGCCTGTGAGTTCAAATCCGGACAGACCTGGTCGGAAAAAATTACGCCAACACTCAAATCAATCGTCGTCAGGACGCATAGACTCCATTTTCGATGGGGGGACGGATTCATCGGCAACAGCTGCACAAATCGTTGGAATTGACCAGTGGAGTTCCAGTGGTACGGAAAGCACTACTGGAGTAATTATACGTAGCGGTGTTACAGCTGAATGGACAAACGAACAGGAGGCGAAGCCAAATCCAGAACCTTCAGTCACCCAATCCCAACAGGACCGCGTAACTAGCTATCCTAGGCGGACGGAGAAATCAGAAAATGTGATCTTTGTTCATTAATCATGCTTATTTGACTCGTCATTTCTAATAAAGTATGCAGAGGAACTTACCACGCTTTTAGATGACCACATCATCAACTGTGCTTCCGACCGACACATTACCTGCTCGAATGAATCAACCGCGACCGAGCGGCCAGCCCTTGAGCTTTTCTTACGGATTCTCGAGGTCAATTCCAGCTGGTGTCCATTTGGCTGGCTTAACCGATCCATCCGATAACAACGTCTTTTCCAAAACTCCAGAAATCGGTTTTCCGACTAGTTGGGTACAAGTTTAAGTTATTTCTTGCACTTTTGCTTATAATCATTCACAAATTTCTCAAGCACACTGTCTCCGCGCAGACGTATAAATGCGGTCGAATGGTTTATTAAGTAGGCGTAATGGTTTTCTCTTCATTGCTCAGTTAAGGGGTAGACAAGACCTTCCAATATCGGCGGAACCGTTTAACTATCCTGAGTTAACTCCGTTCGGCATTGTTCCGCGTCATCCGATCCACTCTTCTCACTTGCTGCCTTCGCATACGTGTAACGTCCAGAGCGGCTTCTATGGCGAGGGAGTGGCCCCTTGTCTCTACATGCATCCACTTCGACTGCAGGCAGGCATCCACTGCATTTTAGCTGCACCATTGATCCTTCCCTTCTATTCGGGCAAATTGGGTGTTTGCTTTGACCCTCCAATAGGAGAGGCGGTATTCCTGTTAAAAGGTTCAAGTATTACTTAATTATTGTTGTCAGAAGGTGGTCTGTAGAGTTCAACTGTTTTCAAAACTATGAATTCGATTTACCTTGAGGTTATAAATCCCTTCCATAAGATTTCACTGTGTCATGCAAAGCTGAGAATGCCGCATAAGTTAGCAGTGCTTGACTGTTACCACTTCCTTTGCTATCATTCTATAATTTGTTAAAAATGTTGAAGTTTTTTTCCCCTCTAGGATATTAAGATGTGCCAACGACAGCACAGGGATCGTATCGCAGGCCTGCATCAGCAGCACCATCATCATCACCACGTGGGTCATCGTCATCATCATCATCACCGCGGTCACCACAAGGGGGAGGAGCATGGGGCACAGGGTCAAGCGCCACCGCCTCCCCCTCCAACCCCTGATGTTTGTTGCCACGGTCAGCCACGAAATCCCTATGGTGCATACAATGAGAGCTCTCCCTCTCATAAGCGCTCCCATAGGAAGCGTGACTTGGTGCCTCCACGAGACACCTGTGCACCTCAAGCATATGCACTTACTAGGAGAAGCAAGCATCGATACAAGGATGTGAATGGGTAGGTCTCATTGACATGCATCGTCTATTCTCTAACCTTCAACACATATGGATTTGCCAAAACGCTTATTATCAACTGGCAGTAATAAAGTCTTGCGTTCCTACCTTCCCTACTGAGCAGCAAGGGGATCGTTATGACGAAAAGGTTAGAAGTGTTAAAGTTCACCCAAAGTCTTCTATGAAGATGACTTAATCAATCCACAAAATTCCCAACATTAATTGAGGAGGTAATTAGAGTGGACAAGTGTATGTTTAAATACCAAATTGGCTTACAAAATTGGCCACATAAAAATGCAAACTTGATGGAATATGTGAGTCATCTAGACTACATGATTGCTATATAACTTGAATAGACAATCACGACCAGGATCTGCATCGAAAGTGTTTGAGGGAGGTGTTGGCGGTGGTATTGGTGGTGAGGAGGAGCCACCAGCGCTGCCAAGTCACGGTTATCATACTCATCGTCACATGATCCCCATGGGCGCATCTCAGCCACCCACGTTACCGCCGAAACCTGGTGAAACTAAAGAAGATCTGCATGTATGCAAACTTCACTCTCAGCCTTCTGCTACTCCAGCTACTACCATCGATAGTGGTAGGAAGCGACGTCAGGAAGAGAGCAAGCCTTCCAGAAGCGATGACCGAAAGCAATCAACACCAGGTAGGAGGTTGATGGGCACCAACTCTCCGTGACTAACCTAATGGCGTTTTAATCTCCCTCATCATTGATTTCCAGTCAGCGGACATCATCATCATCACCATCATCGGGTCTTGCGAGAACAGGAAGAACAGGTAGAGGCTCCGCATCGTCTTAAACGTCGACCTGTTCAATCGCCGGCACTTGTTGGTGAGGAACCGCAATCGTGGGGAATATCTTCGCCGATTCTCGGAGAAGAGAGGAGTCGAATGGGAGTTACTCGAGCATCTCCAGTTCTCTCTACTGTCGCCTCTACTGCAGGGAAAAAAATACCGGTTCCCAAAGAGTACATGGAAAAGATTGGGGTAACATCCATCGCCAACGATAATGTCACTGACACTACCAAACTTCCTCATTATCATCTAATAAAAAATTAACAAGCAGCTCATTGTTGCATTAGACTTCGCTCTTTTTATCTTCCTTTCAAGAACAAACTCTGAATGCCTTTATGCAATCCCTATAAACCAACTATATACGCAATTGAAACTTATTTATTAATATACTTTCAACATTTAGACCTTTTCCTTTATGTAATGGCAGATTTTGACAACAATGTATACCTTTATATAAGGACGTGGTGTTTTCACGTTTTCGTAAATTGACTGTTCTAGCCTCACAACCCTGCACTCATCAAGTTAAATGGGCACCACTTTAAAGGTGATCCTTTTTTAGGCCCATAAAGCAAGTATTGAAGCCCTGAAAAGAGAGCTACGTTCGGTGGAGACAGCGTCATCTGTCGTCACTACTGCAAGCAATGCAACTGCAAAGTTAAATATTGCGTCATCTCGAGGGGGCTTGAGCCGAGGCAATGCGTTTTCTCGAGGGCTCATCCCAGAAGGTAGTGTGCAGCATCCCCCTCCCTCCATCTCCCCCTCAGATGAGGCTGCAGCTCGTCTAGCCGACACCTCAGGGTCAGCGTCACTGGGGGACCTTAGAAATGCTATCCTAGCAAGCAGTAGTGGAATGGGTGAGAGTTCCTTGCAAAAGAAGGTTCCTGCAAAGGTTGGAAAAGACAATGAAGGTAAATGAGTTCAACTTTACAGAGAAGTTTATATTTAGTTCGCTTTGTTTCCTACTACTATTGTTATTTAGGATTATTGACGGCACCTCAGGATACCACCTACCTGGAATCAGAATCTGATTCCAGTCCAGAGCAGATAGGCATGCACACCATGCGGCGCTCTTTGCGTGAAAGCGCCTCAAGGCATTCAGCGATTCCACCACCTGGAATGTCTAGTTTTGGTGAAGTCCCAAAGCCTCCTTCTTTGCCACAATCGTCCAGCTTCTCATCATCCAATTCATCTGACTCCTCTGTTGTCTCCTACTCTCACTCACAGTCTCTCTTCTCACATGGTAGGCTAAAAAGAGGAACGGAGCCAATTTTGGGAATGTTTTTATCAAAATATTAGTCGAACTGAGAGATCTACCCATTTAGCATGGCAATTAGCCTCAGGTTTGCGTGACAGACGGAGAGCATTCATCCTGCTAATCTGTTTTGGGCGTGTTTGTCGGTTGTTTTTCATGGCTCTTCGTAGTAATTCTGATAATCCCCTATTTTTCATTCTCTTTATTCCTTTCAAATTTGCTTATCTCTACAAAAGGTGCAGCAGTTTCGGCTGATTCTAGTGTTTCGCAACCATCGTCGTCCTCAGATATATCATCGGAGGACGAGCCAAGTTTTTCATCATTATCGGCGTCACCGGAGTGTTTCCTGCGACGACGGCGACCACATCATCACCACCATGCCTGTCACGAATGTATTTCTCGCTCCCAAGGCCATCTACAATCCTATGTCAGCAGTAGCCATCGTATTCTCAGTCGCCATCATCAACAGAATCGAGGCTACCGCCAAGATCAGAAGTTTGAAGGAAAGCGGAGTAAATCCAGTCACTCATATCGTGGCGGACGACCCGATTCTATGTTGTTGAAAAGGTTTTTTAATGATGAGATTGCATTGGAGACAATCGCGCGTCAGCAGAAGCTATTGAAACGTGAGTTGGCGAAGCAAAAACAACTTGCAGCAGAACTGGAGGAGGCGAAGAGACGAACCCAACGATTACTAGAAGAGGATGTCAATATGGAAAAGAAGATTGAAGAACCAACTAAGAGGGAGGAGGGCCAGGAGAAGGAGCCATCTCGAAATGGAGGAAAAAGAGACTTCTCTCCATTCGCCAGTTTCTCTCATCGTGGACATCATCGTTCCTCATCATCTGGTAGAAGACATCATCGCCATCATAAGAGTCGTCGGCATCGCCGACAACCTAGTTATTCCGACGAAGAGAAAAATTCTGAAGAAGAGCACAAAAAACTATCGTGGGTGATAAAAATGCACTGCTTATGCTATTTCATTCTTGCATAGGATTGCTCTGTGCACTTTGATTTGCAGAGATTTCAAAACAATTTCTGGTTCAAAACTTATTTTGGGATCATTAAAATGCATTTACGTACCTAAAGTTAATGCTCCCAGTTGAGGCGATTGGAAGTGTAATAAAGTCTGGTTCGTCTAGTGGTTGCTGACGGCGTAAACAAGCTCCCAGATCCAAGAACCACTGTGTAGCGCCTACATGCATGATGTGCTTGATGTTCCTTCCACCATCATGAAATATCTTGATTTTCAGCGTTGGTTAAGTCTAGTAAAATTTGCCTGCTTTCTCATCATTAGATCAGAGAAACTTGATGAGGATTCTGTTGATCGTGCCTCCCACCAAAAGCGTGGTCATTCAAGGAGTCGACACCATCGACATCGTAAAATGAGTACAAATGGAAGGGATGAATCTCAAACTACAACTAAGGAGAAAGGCAATAAGGAGGCCTCGGAAGTCGCAAAAGATCAAAATTCGTCTTTCAGAGTTCAAAAGCAAGTGACTGAAAAGGGTCTTGGGAAAGTTAATGAAGGTAACCTATTCACTTATGTGGCGGACATTATTTGGAGACCCATGAATGATCTAAAATGCTTCACACTGGGGGCGAATTTTCCGCTAACCTTCATGAACTCGAATGCTAAACGAGATGTTATTAAGGTGTGAATAAATTATTACCGTTACTTATTGTTTTTCAGTAGAGGGACTTGTTCACGCTGAAGTAGAGAGGAAAGGAAAAAATTTTGACCAGTCAGGTGAAGGGTTGCCTCCTCCCCCTCCACCTCCACAGTCTCCTCCACCGCCTCAGCGAGAAGATAGCTCTACTCTCAGTCCATCCCGGCAAACATCATCACTATCAAAGGTATTTCTTTATCACAAATACAATCACATTTGGACAGTAAATTGCTGGTTTCAACCTAGATTAGCCATCAAAGGGCTATAAATATGTTGAATGCGGGGAAACACCTTGGTCTTCTTAGCAATGCTTTGCGCAAGTAGTTTTAAAAATTGTTACACAATAGCTATATTCAAGTTCAATATAAAGCTGCTTATTACCTATTCAAAAATATTATTTTGTAATGCTACAGTTTTCTGACTCGAGAACGTCAACCGCCGAGAAAAAGGTTAGCGAACCGGCGATTGGAGAAGCTGTTTCAACCTCTCAGGACGGCAGTCGACAATTATGTTCGATCACAGTTACTGAGGAAGCTGGTCTTGCAAGGGACATTATCAAAGAGGTGGGGTAAAATTACCTTGTGACAATAAACAATGATTACGAAAAAAAGGGCAAAGGTATTGATGCTAACAGCCTCGTGTGGTGTACTATGAAAAGCACTGGTTTTTGTTGTCACTAGCATTTAATCATATGACTGCAGCCCCTTGTTTAACCTAATTATGCTTCCATTTCTCATCCAAAATCACTCGTTTGCCACCATCTATGTGCATCAAGAAATGACTGTGGCTCTCTTCTAGATATAAGCCTCTTAATGACATGAGTGTGGGTGCTTCCAAAAGCACTCCAGGCTTTGTCATGACACGACTCGGCGCAAGTGCAACGATCAATAAGGTCTGCTGCATTTCCTTTGACAGGTCTTGAGGCACACCTATGCACGCGATGATGCCAAAGTGTCTCCAGAAGCCTCTTCGATTACTCATACACCCCCAACAACTTCCTCTATTACATCGTCCCCTCAACTCAACATCTCAAACGACCTTTCAGCCACCAAGTCCACGAAGAGAGTCAGTCGCAGATGAATTCCAACCCTATCCGTTTTTTATTTCTTAGTCTTATTTACTTTTTAATGGTAATGCAAGAATGAACTACGGTAGGCTGCTATCAGGGGAGAAGGTGTCGAATCTTATTACGTCGACGTGCTCTTTGAGTTCTTTCATTTTGGAAACCCTTTCAATTTTGGTCAAATATTTCAGATTTGTAGCAGAGCACTAGAAACACTCTGCTTCGAGGCCTGCAAACGGCAGAAAGATCATTTCTATCAAGTGCCGTCGTGTGATAGCTTTAGCCTTACAATTCAAAGTCACGACTTTGCTAGATGTAAAACGTGCTACATCTACCGTCACCACCATCTGACTGTGCGAAATTAAAGACGGTTTATGGCTTTTTCACTTTCTTTCAGTCTATACACTCTTGGCAAATGCTGTTTTACAATATTCGCTTAAAGAATCTTGGGTTATCCGTGGCATTTTAAGCCATATGCGTAAAAACTCTTAATTTTCTTTGAAATGTGATTGATTAAAATGCTAACAGGCATCACGCCGCCATGGTTTAACTTCAACTTGTTTAAAGCCAATTTCATTCTCCTTTGGCTCCATCTTAATGCAGTGTGTGTGGGAGATTTTAAAAAATGCATGATTATGCTTTTTTTGGGGGGGAGGGAGGGGGGAGCGGGCGGTGGTTTACGCAGGGTATGAAATGCACGCATGGCATGCGAGAAGCAAGAGCGAAAATATAAATAAGATCGTAAATTAGCAATCATCGGGTTTCTTGTCATGCATTGAATCTGTTTTTTGTTTTATTTTAGACAAAAATACTAGATAGTAGTTTTGTAAGTCCAGTGGAGACATCGCATCACCACGAGCTGACAAGCATTTGCCTTGAGCCCGTTCCAGAAGGCCGCGTGGCGGAGACGTACTCGGCTAGTCGGCCCTACCGCCCTGAGCTCACCACTTTCCTTGGCACCAACATCAAGGATCAAAGGCAGGAGAAGGAGGAAGAGGTGGAGGAAGAAGAGGCGGAGGAGGAGGAGGAGGAAGAAGAAGTGGAAGATGAGTCCGATCTTGATGTGGAAGAAATTGATTCCGACTCCACATCAGCTAGTGAAGGCAGTGAGGACATTGAACCCTTTCCTCTTCCACCACCCGATCTCATTGTCATGAAGGAAAGTCACCACTCACCTCCCGTCACACGGCTACGGCGTGGTAGGGAGCTTCATGAAGTTATCGAGGAGATGGAAGGTGGAGCAGTGTCAGAGACGTCAATTCTTGAGCATTCAGCACCTCTAAAACCCGTTACCCCCGTTCGTCTCTCTCAGGTTACAGTGGCGCAGCACCCCGAATTGATTGAGTATGCTGGCTCCAGTCGTGTTGGTGACACCGAAGTTGGTGGTGTGGAAGAGGAGGAGGAGGAGGGGGAAGATGAGGAAGATACCGCCACAGCAATTGCGTCTTTTGTAATTGTTACGCCTTCGAAGAGGTCACGAAACCGTCGGAAGACTGCTAGACAGCGGCAGAAATCAGCACATGAAACAAAACCTACCACCGAAAACACCTCGAAGACCTGAGTGAGAGTGGGGTAAGTCTTACTTTCCATTACTGCCTTCAAAAGCAACTGCATGATTATGTGGTCTGGATTTTGGGTCGTCCAAAGTTCATGATTAGTTGGCAGAAAATCTATTCGCACATATTTGCGACTTTTATAAAGTTCTACCTTCCCTTCAAGAATTATTTTATTTTAACTTCGACTGCAACTACAAAATTTTAAAAATCGGAGTTATTGGACCCCTAGGATTTATTTCAAATGCTTTTCCAAACCAGGCGCTGTATTACAAATCTTACAAGTAATTTAGAGGAAAAATATTTTTAATTTGAGTGGTTGCAGTTCTGTTTTGAATGTTTCCTTCGACGATTGAATGCTGTTTTTTGAGCGATTCTTAGTCCAGCATTTGTCTAAACGGGGGTATTCACACCCCAATCATTTCATCACAAAAACCCGAAGTGTTAGAATGAATGCATGAGGTACTTGGCGTGCCAGATTCACATGACCTTACGCCTGGTTCGCCAACCGCATCCTCACTGCAACTGAGTGTGTGCTGCGCCTATCCCAAGACGAGGAAGGCGGTTGGATCCACGTTGGTGGAGGTACTGCCTCCGACAGATCGCCTGATTGATCCTGCGGTTTCCGTTGTGGTTACGCCAAACGCAATTCCACCTTTCGATTGGTTGACTGACGCAATTACATGCGTGCAAACTATCTCTATATAATTGTTTGATTCATTTTGAACGACTCATCGTCAAAAGCATGCCGAAAAATGAATTTGTAGTAATTGAGCAGGATATGCCCTGGGGGCTTCAAGAGGCTGTCCTGAGAATTATTCAGTCAGTCCTCTCCGGTGCCTCTCAATCAAAGCACATCCGTTCAACTCTGTATGCGGCTTCAATGTGCATTTCGGCAAGGTTGAGAGAGATTGAAGATAAGGAATGGCAGGTTGTTGTCGTGCACGGCTCCTTCACGTCAACCTGTATTCACAAGCCCGGTCGACTGTTGTCGGTGGTCTATAAGCCCTACAGCGTTCTTGTCTGGCAATCCGACTAACAGCTTCGCACATTACAATGGTAGCATTTTATCTTATTGATGCTGATTTTTTTCAATTTGTTTCATTTCCATGCTCTCTAGTGCGTTGATAAGACGTTTCTCCATCCTAATCTTATGAGAATTAATCTTCGAGGTCACCGCAGTAGCCAATTTAGCTCCATTTGAGTAAGCTCAATAGATTTTAGCAAACCGTAAGGCTTTCTCACTTTGCAATTGAATAGGCAAAAAAGTAAAAGAAATGCGGTGTACCTTCGAAGTCTTAAGCCAAATGCCACAATTATGTTGTGGACTAGAGAACAACTACTTTTTCGCGTTGAATGAAGAGAACAAATTTGGCCCCCATGAGGACGAAGTGTTCATAGTTCGTCAAATTTTTTCCTCCATGTTGCAAAAGCGAATGCAGTGGCTGCATAAGGAAGTGGATGCAGGTGCTGGAAGTCTACTGATAGGTTCGTTACAGTACTTTCTCCCAGCTTATGAGCCGTCTGACTCCAGCAATCAGCATCAGTTTCTCGTGAGGCAACTATTTTGCAGTTGATGAAGGAGATTCACACAAACTAATGCTTTTGTGTTGGACTTAATGCCTTTCAGAAATGCCCTAAACGAAGTTTCTAACTGCCTCTAATCACATCGCCATTAATCTGTCTCTTGGGCGTACAACTGTGCAAACAAAGAGTTTAACTAAGCTCATCCTCATGTAACCCGCAAGCCATTGTTGAACTTTTGCCTCGCTTCCCTAGTGCTGATGGTTTTGCCTCATCAAAGTCCAGGAAATCCAATTTCCCTACCAGATGCCCAATTGACGCAACTTTCGTAGAGAAGCACGTGCATGTCAATCGTGGTTTTCCGCTAAGCGCCAGGTTCGGTTAGCACTGCTTTAACCCCACCTCACCAACTTCATTCTGCACAAACTCAATTATGTGGGTTAATGCGATTTGCCGTTTGCACATTCATCCATTTGCCAACGACCTCTGCACGCAAAGGAAAGCAGGCAATCGTTCAAGGCCTTAAGAAGTGGTAATTTGCAAATGTTGGAGTCTGTGTCATCACATGCTTCCAAAATCGCCACTTTTTGACACCCTTTATGGAATTCAAATCGTTTACCCTTTTTTACACGCCTCTCCATATTTGGGATGCATTTGCAGTCAAATTGTGTGTCTTAAACCGACTCCTTGCGTAAGTGACATGCTGATATTGCCCTACATTGAAAGTCGGGTTTGAAAGGCAATATTTTGGTAGCGATGCATTACTCTTTCTCATTGTCTGTTTTTCTACCATTTCAGAACGGTGAACTCCTTCCGACACTAGCTCTGCTCCATCCGAACGCCGTATAGCAACATTTGCTGTTGTAATGTTTTCATCCTTCCTTTTATATGCACTCTGAAGCCGCAACATCACAATTTTCTTTTCGAATGCATTTCGCGCTTGACATCCCTCTCGAATTGTGTATAAATGGTTCCTTAATTTCATTTCCTTCCTGTTATCTTCTCATGCGTTCATCGCTGGCACTACATGGTAGCTTCCTGCATTTAAAGAGAGTTCAGAAAATACAATTTAATGTTCAATAAGCTTTCGTCTCTACTTGTGATATTTTGCGCCCATTGACTATGTCATTGCCACGACAAGTAGTGGCGACTGAATTGCGAGGTTTGTGCCAGTTAGCAGGACGATGAATGAAGACGATTGCTGTGTGCTATCTTGCACGATTGGGTAAGGCTTGGAACCGTTTGGGACTCTTTTTCGCACCTCTTTCAAATAAGTCGACTGGGGAGTTCTCAAACCCTGTCTCTTTTAACATGTAGTTTTATTTTGCTTAAAGGTGGTGGTGTGCACACTGAGCAAGGGTCTGGACAATTCATATGAATGCTTTGCTACCATTTGTCATGGATTGTGGCGCATACGTCCGCTCCCTTGTATTCCATGTACCTCTTACCTGGTGTATTTTGTGTATCCGATTGATCTCAGTTATAAAACTTGAGGACCTTTGAATCAAGTTTGTTACATAGTTCTTAACAAAGGCGTAGTGGCAATGCGCCGCTCATGGACTGCTTAATCCCTTTTGTTAAGCATTTAAAGATGCATCTCACACCGCTTTATGTCTCATGCTTCTAAATTTCCAATTCGGTATCAGAAGACCGATTGGAAATAGGAATGTGTAATGTGCCATTTTTCCATTCACAGCCAATTGTAAACCATGAGGGTGCAGAAACTGCGCCTTCGGAAGGAACCGAAGACGAAAAATAGGTGGGAAATCGTTTTTTTCCTAAAGTATTAACAAAAGACTCACTTATGAGACGATCCTTACGTTGGAGTGGAGAGTACCACATCTTCATCCCGTCCTTAGCAGTCCCCTCTAGTTTTTCACTTGCTTATCACATTTTCTTAGCATTAGACAATTCCATTTGACAGTAATGGAAATCACTGCTGATAGGAATCCACTTTTGGAGAAGATAAGCAAGAAGAATAAAAGGTAGCCCTTTAAAAGTACAATCCTTTATTTAAATCTACCTGACTTCTAGACTACAAAAGCAAAATGCAACTCAATATACTTACCTAAAAACTGATTAACCACTTTGACTTTTCAGCCATAAATATCATTCCACTTCCCTTAAATTGAAAGAGGCTTATTTCTGGGTACTCGTAGGACGATTGCTTGCTAGTGATTTTTTCCCCATGTCGCTCCATTCGGAGGCAGCCGCAATCGAATGTGCTGGAGCATAGTGCGTTCACTGACTATCGCCTTACATTTTCATTTTATTGTCTACGAGTTGGCCAACTAAGAATCATTACAATGACTCGCTTTTTCTACATTACATTACCTATTTTAGTTAAAGCAGCTGTGGTTACTTAACGTGTGGGTGTGAAAAGCTTTAATGCCAAAGACCGGTGAACTTGATCGGCTCACAGACAGGTAGTTATGAGGAAGTTAGCAATTTTGGATGATTTGTGCCTCTAGAAAAGGTCTCTGATCTCACAGAATATGCAAATTGTGCTTAAGGTCAATTTGCATCTCACACACGCAAACGCGCAGTGAGCGACTGTGGGTACGCATACGCAAATGGCCGTTTCGGCCTCTATAAATCGCCTCCTGGTGCCAAACAGGTGCCTTTCACCTCGCTATCTCGCTCACTCTCTCATACATTCTCTCTCAGTCAGCACATGGGCAGCATGCTCGAGAGCATTTTTTTTGTGATCACAACTCTCTTCTCTCTCCTATTTCTCATCCTTGCTGTCTCAATTGAAAGCTGGCCTTGTGGTGGAGTTTTTGCCAATTCCTGTCAAGTTAATCTCAAAAACTATCCCATTTTGCCCATCGGTGTCTTAATATGCATCTCCATTATTCTCTACGCAATTGCTGCCTGTATGGATCTCGCACAGATATATCTACACCAGCTCAACGATCGCGTGCGCCATATTGTTGCCTATGTTGCACTTGGAACAAGTGTCGTATCATCCCTATTCGTAGTGAGTGCTATGTTGGCCTTCTTCAATCTCTACATGGGCTCGTGGAGTATTATGCTGAGTGTTGTGGGAATGACCCTGGGCTGTTCGATAACCTTCCAGTTGGGAATGCGAATTCTATTTGACTTGCTGGGTAAAAATGTGGACTCCCACTAAAAGGAAGGTTATCCTCTTTCAGCGATATTATTATCCCTAGGATTTCGACCTTTCTCATTCCATGGTAGGCTTTTACTTGATTTGTCAATAAGTCCATTTCGCATTCGCCCATCTGTAAATTTTAATCTGCAGTGCTTGTAAAATAACGCGTTTTAATTCTAACAAATGGTTTCTGACTTTCTTTCTTGCTTGGATTGCTCAGACTGACTGTTTCCTGCCTTTAGTTTTATCGCTCCAAACTGTTATTTACAGAGTCACTAGGACAATTTCGAAATTAACGCGCTGCCTATCGTTTGGGCTTCTTGAAGGCAGTGTCACCAATAAAACTGATAAATTTTCTCGATCCCAATTCCGCCAAAGCTTCCATCAATTATAGTTTTCACACGTTTTAAGCATGCGAAATCATATGGGCTTCGCAACGGAACTCGGGTTGGAGAAGGAAAATCCTCGAACTTAAAGTGGCATCAGTGGCGCGATTTTTAGCCGATTAAAAGTAGTTGATGAATTAGCTCCCTAAGTTAAATGTAAATGAGTGGAGTGTGTGTGTGGAATTAATTGGAAGCCCTGGAGACTTGATCATCGTTCCCGCCGTATGCTTGTATAGACAGTTACTTGCATGCTAGCGGCATGTAAATGGGCTAAGCGGATATGGACATGGACTTGACTCTTTTACGCGTCAACTTTCATCAGTGGTTTATCGACCCTTTACACCGATCATCAAGACTTAAAATTCCAACGAACTATCCCTGTCACATATCGAGTTTGCACAGGATTGCGGTTCTACTTTGTAATTCTGTTAAATGTGGCATCTCTACACTGCTAGAGGAATATGTTATGGAAAAGACAAAAGCATTTGCCATCATGTATGCCCATTGCTGGTCTCGAGAATACTGGTTTTAGTGCTGCTCAGCCATGTCTATCTGAATTTTGCCCAGCTAAAAGAGAGGTTGATAAAGTATTTCGTGTTTTGCATAGTTGACGTAAAAATGGCTCACAAAAGGCGGGGCTTTTGTTCTTATTAGTATTAGCGCATGAATTGTAAATGGATGTTTGCCAGAGGCAGACTTTATCTCTAACTATCCTGTCAGGGATCCCCACCTTCAATCCCAACCGCAAAAAGTTAATTTTTTCTCGGTGAGTTAAGGTTAACACTTATTAAATTGACTAAAGCAAATTGTTTCCACTGGTATTGGTGGTGTTCCATGAGACATAAGTTCAGGAACGCAAATGAATTTGCTGCCTTTGTGGAATGTGCTGTGAATGACTTAACAACATGGCCCATAAGTTATGCTGCTCAAGTGTAGTACTACTGTTTCAAAACAGCAGAAGTGTTTGCGGAATCTCGTCTCCACCTGCGGTTCAGCCGCTATTTAAATTACGAATATTTGTACCTACTATTTCTACGGTTTTGAGAAAATCAAGCGGGTTGTTTTCTGAGGTAATACGAAACCTAAGCGCCCATGGCCTCCCATGTGTGGACTTCAGTGGTACAAAGTACACAACCCACAGTAAGAAGTTTACAATGGTGGCGAGCATGATAAAAACAGCGGTCGAATCTTGGGTCACGTCAGTCCCTGTTTTTAAATTTCTTCTTTTATTTCAAATACGGTTTTCGATATTCAGCTACTGGTAGTGCGTAGCATGTAGTTGCACAGCATTACTTTTAAAATAGATAGGTAGATGGCCATGGATGATAGGCTTCAGTGCGCTGTGGCTATTCCACATGCAAGGCTTTACCGAAGCTGCCAGACACTCAAATGACTGCCCAATCACCAGTGCCATGCGAAGTCAGGTATTTGGGATTTGGGAGTTATTTGAATTAAAAATTAGATGGCGAAATTAATCAGTGGAGGAAGGACGAATGCTGTTAGATAGTTTATAAAATAAAGTTGAGATTGTACATACTTGTGCAAATTATGATGGTGGTCCTTCTTGCTAACACTCATTAAGGCGGCGAACTGCATTAACACTTGGCACCTCTTTCTTGTACCACACTTGAAGTGCTCACATTCGAGTGCCCTTATCCAATTCCATGAGGGCTAAGGTGAGGGCCACAAGATCTAATGCTTTGCGAATTAATGGCAACCTGATACGATCCAGCTGGAATAAAAAGGAGAAATTAAATTTAGGGCTAATAAAGCTGAACAAGATGCGGAGCACGATCTTCCAGTGGTTGAAACTTGCCTTCCTTAGATAAAACTTAAGATCGTGTGCCAGTCTCAAGTGGTTTTATATGGAGGTGACGATTAGGGAGTTGTTTTTTAATGCGTGCTGATTTTGGGGTTGTGTCTTGGCATTCCTACCACGTTGACACCGCAATGCAGGTGGGCGTTGCTTCAAATAGTTGCAGTCTTTTTGGTCCATTGGTTGCTCCCCTGTGTTTGCAAGCGTTCACACGAGCAGTCGGAGTTATTTTGTCTTCCTGAATGTGATATTATTAGGACACATTTGTTCGCATCTTCTGCCAATGAATCACTAATTTGCATCCGTTCGGTGGCTTATCCATTGCATCGACCCACAAATTGCGAATGTATTCAGTCCTCCTGTCAGTGTGAAGCGTTAGCATGGCCAAGGAACGAGCATTTTGTCACAACAACTTGGGTAGTTTTAACCGCAATCAAAGAAATAAACAGGAACGAATACAAAACAGAGCACTAAAAATATTAAAACGCTGCCTAGTTGGGGAAACTATTGTTCACTGATAATGGCTCCAAGTGTTTTCCTGAAGTACTGAGATGGATTATGCCTCGTCAAGTCTGTGGGACGCCTTCGTATGGCTCGTAGGCCACATTTCATAGAGCCAAATGGAAAGCGGAGTCATTAGCGCCTTCGTAGACTAAAAGATTCAGTTAAGATACACTTTAAGTGCCCGTTACAATATACTCTACGCCAAAATGCTAACTTAAGAGCAGTCAATTAATGGAGGATAAGCTTAAAGCTAACCCACTGGAGATGAGGTTCTGAGTCTTTTTCTTCTTACCGCCATATTATACTGTCACATGCATATTTGACTCCCCTCCAGTAAGTAAAAAGACAGGGATGTACATCGACGACTTCATAAATGCACTCCACTAAACCACTTCTGCCGTTCATGCGACGGTGAATGTCGTCTCCTATCCTTTTAGGAAGATTTTGGCGCAAAAAATACCTCGCCACAGAGAGAGCTAAAAGCACATAAAAGTAGAGGGGAAGATGCTTTAAATGACGTCACAGAATGATGATTACCGCGAAAAGGAGGATCTATGTTTTACACCTTTTCAAGATCTTGTCTACACTAACCAAAAGTGCAGGCTTTCTTGCTGGAGAACTCAAAGTGCACCATCCTGGATTGTTGCATAGGATGGCGCAAATTCCGCGAGTGGAATTGGCCTTTGGGTAGTTAAGGTAATTCAACGATCACCGTCGTCCCCCTGTAGTTGAATGAAAAGTTCTTAAAAATCAAAAGTAGAGCTTGAAGACAATTGAACTTTGCTGTTATAAGCAATGAGAGGCCACAATCGCTCCAAGTTCTGCAAAGTGAAGCAAATGGAGAGACTTCTTGCCGTTAGTCTGCAGTCAGCCATCCCACGCGTACTCTTCGTAACAATTCAGGCAACTTGGCTCTCCCCTGCACACACAATCATCGGTTCATTAGATAAATGTGTCACTGAATCTGCAATGAACATCCGGAGGTTTCGAGGTCCATTGCCACGAGTCGGAAGTATTAACTGCGCTATCTTTTTGGCATCGATTAAGTTGTTTGATTAAATTTTTCCTGTTCACATCCTTTTATTCTCAATTCAAGCCCTCATTCTTACCAGTGTCGCTTGAATGGTCTGACTTTTGACACATGTTAATTGGTTACTTGCAGCATTGCAGTGTGCCAATTTTCATGACCTGCCATCCTCTTAAGCACAGTCATTCAAACCTACCATGATGCATTCTGATTTGGATGGTAAACTGGCTTTTAAGGTCAGTAAAAGCCTTACCGAAGTGCTCTCCTTCAAGCGGCGTGATCGGTAATGCATACTTTGATCGGGGCTTTCGTCTCTATAGTGGCAGCAGCTAAAGGCACATTTGTTGGTAAAGGGCAAATGCCTCAGTCCCTATTACCAAATGACATGCTTTAGGGTGCAAGAAAGTGGTTTTGTGCTTTGGAATCGAAAATCCGTAATGAATTTTAGCTGAGGAGTTGATACCATCGTCTAGCCTTGTCAATTGGGACGGCAGCAGTCATTTGGCTGGACTCTCTTTCTCTTGCCTGTATGAAGATTTCAATGCACACACAAGTCCACCAAAACAAGTGAGAAGGAGCTTAAAGCTGTATTTCCAAGACAGTATGTGGAGCCTTGAACCTTGTTGCTTAATTAGCTTCGAGTTCCGTGTTCTTACGAGTACCTACTCGTCTTAGCAGATGAAAACTGCAAATACGTCTTCATGGTCCTCATTTTCTCCCTTAAACGTGTGTTTTCCTCCACTTCGCTGGTATAAGGATCATTTGCAGTCGCTTGGCGCCATCTTTCTCGACTTCTCCCTCCATTGAAGGGTGCTTAAGGCAATTGTTTCACCTTTGTCAGCAGTTTCAGACACATACAGGATTAACAGTTGCCCACACAATGCTCCATCTTCGTCGGTAAAGTCAAGGGAAAATTTTGATTACTTCGAGAATTATCCCCTTCTCCTTTCCCTTCTATCGCCGATTTTAATTATAAGTAGGTTAACGTTTGGATTCCTTTTTTTAAGACCATAGAGAAGTTTGAATACAGGTACAATCAGCACGTCAAAGCCCTTTCTTTATGATGCAGCACTTCATCTCCTCGCTAGAGCCCTCCTGTTAAGTCACGATGTTTTATTGCTAAATCCATATCGCCTATGTATTTCGTTATGTTCGAGGTTTTTACGACACCAATTGAGCCGTAGCAACCATTAGTGGGTCATCGAAATCATCGACTTCCGTTTGCTGGCAGACACTGCTCCTCAACACCGCTGTACTCAGGTTGTCCACTCTCTGCCCTTCCCTTTCACAGCGTTGGACAGCATGTCACCCCAGCATTTCTGCATTCCTTACATTGTACTCCGACCTCCACACTGTGTTGTAGATTTCCGGGCTTTGCACTCCTCGTTCTCACTCACGGATGCTTGCACGGGCTCTTTGTGTGCTTCTCATGTACACTTAAACGCCAGTTGGAGGGATTCATCTTCTATGCTCAGAAGCCACGGTCTGCTTTTGTGGTCAAACCTTATAATTCAAATTCAATGGAGAGTTCGAACTGCCTAGGCAAGTCTAAATAAGCGCACTTCGTAGCCTGACCTGTCCAAAAGTAATGGCTGGTAGTTAAGCAAGTCGAACGCTGGTGGCACAAACGTTTATTCTGCAAATATTCTTAGATTTGTTCATCATATCTCCTTCATTCATAAACAAATGAAATGCTAGTTAGTTTTGCAGAAACAAAATGAGCGACACTTTTTGAATTAGCTCTCAAGTAACCTCCAAACGCCGGGCAACAAAAATGACACAAATGTCTTTGGCAGTGTTATCACAAAACCATGCAATCAAATGTGAAGACGTTGTTAAAACGTATTGTTGATTAATGTTGTTCAGTAATGTCATTTTAGTGGAAAGTGAAAACGCGAAAAACTGGTGTCACGAAAACGAGGTGTGCATTAGAGAATGCAAAACTTCATCAATAACGCAGTCCTGCAAACAACACAAATTAACATTTTTCTTCTCGCAAAAAAAGCCAAGAATTGATCTTGTTGAATATAATGTTGGCCTTGCGTTCATGAATTCAATCCGCATGCTTGTTGTTTCTGAAGAGGTATTCCGCCTGAAAGGGAGAACCTACACCATTCGCTTGTGAAGCTTAGTAAACTAATCGCATCAAACGACTTAAGTTAATAAAAAATTCCTGCAGCGATGAATGAACTAGGCGTCGTGAAGGCATTACCAGATAATCAACCGGATCCTCAGGCCGCCTCCAGATGCACTCGAATATACCCTTGGACAGAGTTGGCATCACGAATTTGCCCAAAAACTCGCGTAGTGGTTTCGATGCCTCCAATAACTCCTCATCCTCTTCTGTGCGCACTCTCTCCAGAAGATCGGACTTTCAAAAGGATTAAAGGATTACCTATTCAAGCCCAGAACCAGTTGGTTTTCAATGTATGCGTGTGTTTTGGTGCATTTGTGATTGCATACACTTCCGTGGAGGGCTGCAAAATGTTTGATGCCATAATCTGATTGATAACCTACAAACTCGCGCTTGCGGACTTCACGGCGTCTGAACTCCTCGGCCTCCCTTTCCTTCTCCAAAGTGCGTCGCTCTTCCGCCTCCTTCAAACGTATTTTGTCTCTTATTGTCAGGGTCTTCGCTGTTGGACCATAGTTTCTTGGCGGACCTATTGCGGTACGTATCTTTCGCTCGATTTCGTTAAAGACCTATGTCAATTAATGGAAGTGATGATGTTGAAGGGATGACTTTGAAGTACCTCAGAAAACCGCTACCAACATTAGAGAGTTTGGATATGCGTTTTAAAATTTCATCTACAAACAATCTAGGAGACTACTGCAAACCTTGCAACATTTTTTCCCACATGATCACCTTTTTTACATTGAAGCATGGGGTATGCTTGTAAAACCATGGAGTTTGAGAACGTGATAAGATTTTGGACTTACTCCCGAGGTGTCTGTTGCGACATCAAAGTTAAAAGCGCGAACGCCTCTGTCCTCGAAAAAGGCGCACAAGCTATTGGTACCAATGCTGCCTGCCATTAACGGGACTATCTGCTCAGTTGAGGTTAGTGTACTTGCTTCGCCTGCTGTGATCTTCTGGAGATAGTCTGAATTAAGTGCCTTTCGCAACTCATCACTAGCCATGAGAGCCGCCACCTCAGACCCGGCGTGAGAGTGACGATAGATGAGAAGGCGTCTAAGAAAGCCTTCTTCGTCGTTATGGGAGCACCTTACTTCATCGTTAGGTATTCTGAGAACTCGGTTAAAGAGGAAGGCATCTGTGGCCTGGAGGAAAATTACGCATGCCGGCAGAATCCCCCTAGGTAAAGAGTTAGGATTTGGGGAGAGCGCAACTTTGCCCAGGAAGTCAGTTTCGTTGATCATATTAGGGATGCTGCGTTCACGAGCTGCTCGTTCCCCACTAAGCTGGGCGACTTGGGCCTGCGGATCTGGTTCTTTGATTTTTTCTCCCTCTTCACCCTCATTGGTTTCTTCGATTTCCTCCATTTCTTCCATTACTTCATCATCTTTGGTGGGAAAATACAACTTTATGAACGTAATCACTCCTTACGAGTATTTTACACTACTATTTGCAATGGTATTAGATGGTAAAAAACTCAGACTTGCATACTCCCAAAAAGCAGGTCTGCTTGCGCTCTTGTCTTGGGAAAGCCATCAAGGACGTATCCTTGGTTTAAGCACTCCTTTGAACTTAGACGCCTCTTTATTAAACTAATAAAAAACCAATTTTTAAAGCTTTCATGTCAAGAGAGCATTTAATAATGATAATCATATTAACTGTTAGTACTAAAATGAAATGTTGAAAGGCCAAGGGACATCCAAATAATGCACCTGCAAACCATTGCGTTGCTTAGGCGACCCCTTTCGGAGGACAGAGTCTCTTTGATTCGTTTCAATAAAGCAGAAGGATTTATCTCACCATCAGCAGCATCATAGTCTTCATCAATTGCCTCTTCCTCAGTTTCATTATTGTCTTTAGCCCGATAAGATGACTTCTGACCCCTTGAATTAACCTGTTCGTCCTAAGGTTGAATAAGCTATAGTGATAATAGAATTCCAATCCCACCGAAATGAAGGTTCACTAGGGAATGTGGATGACAAAGTAACTGAAGACTTTACTCACCAACTCCTTGATTCTAGATTCGATGATTTCCTTAACGTGAATATGTGGCACGGAATAATACTCGCTAAGAAGTTGGGCCAGCTTCGACTTTCCCGAGAGAGGTGGACCCAGGACACATAACCTAATTGGCTTTAAGTAAGGGATATGATAGAGCAAGCTTCACTAATAACGGTAAAATAAGGCCTACTAAACTAAATTATTCAAATAAACCATATGTAGCATTTCAAAGGCTAATATTTTAACATTTTACCAAGCTTTAACGACTTGACTTACAAAGTAACTTATTGGATTCCTCATTTATGGCATCAAGTCACTAACTCACTTTGGCCACAAGGCAAAACACAAACGCTGTGCTAGAAAATACTTTTCTATAAGTATTTGAAACATAGCTTGGTTGTCCCATCTGCGGCTCAGGTGCGATTAGAAACTGAACTAAAAATGACTAACTTACGAGCAGGCCTCTTGCAAGTTTGAACTCTTTCACGATCTTTTGTATGGAAGCAACCAATCCGCTTTCACTTGCCCACTTAAAAGGCAAGTTCTCATGCACGAATTGTGCCTCCAAGCGCAGATTCAACGTGAGACTATCAATGTGCTTTTGCTGCAGAAATATAGTACGTAGGCACAAATCAAAACAGTGAATGCTAGCATTTAATCAGTATGTCAATTATTTATAACATAAAAACTTGCAAATGTCGCAATTACTCATACACCAGAGATCAAAAGCCACCAAACAAGAAAATATTAAGTAGACACATGAGTTTCAACTCTCATTTAATATGGATATTACCGTAAATTCGTCCATCCGTTTTGCTTCTTCTACGGAAATGTGCTTCACTTTCCCTGTGGTGAGCACTTCCGAAATCGCCTAATAATATTCCAAAAAGAATGCATTAATTGTGCGATTGTTATCTTAGTTTAGCAGACAAATACAGGACTTTTTAAACAAAACGGTAATTTAGATCGTATGCAACGAATCTTTTAACACTCGCTATATATAAGCTTTAACTCACCGTAACTATTTCAAGGAGCGTATTGTATCCGTCATCCACAGCAAGTATATAGTGAGTTGTTGGACACAAGTTCAGTAATTTGTAGACAATACTTGGAATAAAAATCAAACTTTATTTCGATCAAAATTTAGAGAATGAGAATAAGCTACCCTATAGCATTTGGCTAGATTGTCATCACTCTTAAACTGCCTCAGAATTACAACGTTATAGTTTATAGAATTAGTTAAAAAATTTTGAAAATCCGATTAGGTTACCTTGCTAAATCATTTACATGGATTGTTGGTATAAAGTTTTTCCCGTCACCGATCACATTCAAAGCCGGTTGGTTCAGCCACCCATCCTAATAACATGACATTACACAAATTGCTTTCCAGTGATAATCAACATGCTTTAAAAAATGGGTGGAATACATCGTTTTCTTCACCATAAGTTATGCCACTTGCAATCACATATGTTAAAAACTTAAATTTATTCTAAAGAAACCTTAATTAAGAAGGACCCCCTACCAGAGTACCAAGTCTCTTAATTTCTTTTTCAGCAGCAATATGTCGAATGTAATGTCGGTGTGCTTTCCGTCTGAAATAATCTAAGTCGTAAAAGCTTGCATTATCACCTTCCTAAATTGAGATAAGAAAAGAATGAACTTGCGTCAGGCAAATGTTGTATTTGTGACCATGTAAGAACAGTAGATAGTAAAACGAAAACCTTTCGCTTTTCAAAGTCATCGGACTCCTCATAAAGTTTTTCCGCGATCCACAGTGCTTCTTCAACTTGTAGATCGTTGTCATTTATATTGTAAATGAAGTAGTCGCAATGCTTAATTTTGGGATATAGATCAATCCATTTGCCATACTAGACAGGTGAACTGACCATAAACTAACTTGAACCACTGTTGACGGACAACTTGGAGTGGTAGAAGGATCCGAGAGAGTGCAAAATACGTTGTTATTAAATCCAGATGGTGAAGTGGGAATAGTGTTGGCCTCCCCTAAGTCCTCTTCACCTTCATTAAGAGGTGGTGTAGATCCAAGGACAGATTTGAATAAGACCTATAAATAACGTAAACAAGGGCAAACTTTGCCAAGATGACTTGATATAAACGTGTCAATATGGTTGATAAATACGTCGCTTGGTATCAAATTGGTGGCTTGTTGGGTTGCCATAGCAATGGTATCGGTTGATGCATGTTAGTATAATGCCGCACATAACCCATTTTAAAAACTTGCTTCAAAGTGACAATAAGAATGAGCAATACTCGATTTTGAAAATTTAAATCTTTGCAAAAGGTTTTACGTGAAAAAATTACTTACGAGCAGGAGTTAAAATTAAAAAGTGAGTATGAAATTTCATTCTAAGTTGTTGACAGGCGATAATAAAAAATTTACAGGAACTCGACAATTAAGGGATAAAGAGGCAATAAAATGAAACATTGCATCCCAACGAAAAAGTCATCAAATCAGCGCCCACCAATTCTCATTTTGTAAGAGAAAGCATGGGATCGCCTAAACCAACTTACCTAAGAAGAAAAGTAAAGGAAAACTCTTCCATGGTATAAAGGCAATTTGCTAAGCAAAAGCAGGTTAAAGACCGAAAATATCGCCGCTCGTACAGGGTTTAAATATGTGAGGTTGTTATGGCCAGACGATAGCTCAAAACAAGCTTAGTGTGTGAAACAAAAAGAAATTGGACGTGAATGGGCGCTCTGATTAAAAAAAGTGGAATAAGTGGTGTGGCATGCGGAGGCATCGCACCAGCTAGGAGAAGCCAATCAACTGCATTGAATACACGCATTTAAATAAAAGAAAGGATCGGACATTGGCTTAGCTTGAAGATTAATACAAGAACCTAAGTTCATCCCCGTGTGTAGGTATGCATATGTTCTGCATAAAAAAGGCTTTCTTCAACCTGGTGATAAGGCTCGAAGCGCTACAATCCAACCAATAAAAGAGCAAAATGAATGCCAAAGTAACTGCCTTAAAGGCCATCACTGTAACACGTATGCAGCGTCTTGAGATTTCCTAATCGGTAAAAGAAGGTGGTAAGTAAAGCTGCATAAACGCATTCCAAATAGCAGAAAGCAACTGAAACCGAGCTGGCCCGAAGTCCAGCTCACGTGTACAAGGTCAGACAAATC